TAGGGCCTGAAGGCCCTCGTTTTCAGGCTTTCAGGCTGAAACGACACAGGGCCTGTAAGCCCTTGTTTTCAGGCTTTTAGGCTGAAAACGACACAGGGCCTGTAGGCCCTTGTTTTCAAGCTTTTAGGCTGAGAACGTCGGGCCCTGCAGGCCCGTGTGGCTGCGCAGTATGCCACAGTGCCTCATACGGAGTCAAGGTCCCAAAGGTCGCGTGTGCTTTCAGGGATGGTGTTCCATAGTTGAGAGTTTTAATGGAGGGGAATGTGACTGTGTGGAGTCTGTGGATATGAGTTTATTACGGCGTTTTAAAGGATGGAGGGAGACATTTTCAAGCATGTAGCTGCTATTGCGCTCATGGCATTTTTTGGTTGGCTACTGTTCTTGTCATCCATGAGAACTACGAGCCGTTGTCCGACACAGCTTCATGGGTTCTCGAACGGTGGCAAGTGTACAGGAGTACCCAAGGATGTAGCTTGGAAGTGTGATGTACGACAACTTACACGAATCTGGGCTTACATATGGGCGAGGAAGGGTTCTAATCATGTTCTGTAGATGTACAAGAACAAGTGTTTGATTACAGAAGGGTTGTGTTTGGATTCCCATCTCATGATATTGATGTGCCGTTCTTTGAGGATGGTCTGTTTGCATGATGAATGCATTTCTTTTCCAAATTTGATATGCAATCTCTCTCATGTATGAATATTGGGAAACATTGATTTCGTATGCTAAGATGAGAGGGTGAAGTGGCAGTCAATGCATGATTTGTGTCCCCACAAGAACAATGGAAAAGTATTTCCTGATTGTGGGATTTTGAAGTGCTGTTATTGTACTGAAGAGCAACTTATGTATGTACTAGATGACCCGTTGCGGCTTTGCCCGCAAAAAACAGAAAAAGAAAAAAGCACAAAAGAAAGAAAACACATAAGGAACTGCCCTATCTTATGCTGCTTCTTTCACAATAAGAAAAAGAAGAGCCTGAGAGCAGACGAAAACCCACGTGCAAGAAAATAGCAGGGAATACCACCGAACATTCTTTTTTATTTATCTTTGCATGTTTTGTTTGGGGAGCCGTTACCTTTGCAGCATCATTTTTGTTTTGTGCTGTGCAAGAACTCTGGACTTTTCTGAGAAAATCCAGTCCGTTGTCCCATTGATGTTTTTGGTAAAGATTCAGAATCAGACTTTGTTCGCTGTGTTCTCTGGATATGTTTGTGATCAAGCGATCTTGCATGTATGCCCCGTGCTTACTTGTTGATTTTGACACTATGTGTGCAAGTGCATGCGCGTGTGGGTGAGTCTCAGTTTGGTGGCTCCGATGATGTCAGTGATGATTGGCCCAGGGAAGTTGTTGGAAGGCGCCTCCAACTATAGGAGTGCCGCTCATGTTAAGCAGGTTTTGCATTGTATGAATGAAACAATCAGCATCTGCTTGGCAGTTGCTCTTCGGGTGGGGGACTTGTCGGGAGTAGCATTGCCATGAGAGCCATAATGCCAGGCGTGCATCTTGGAACATTTCCAGGAAGACAAAAGGCAAAAAAAAAACGTAGCATGTGTCAGAATCACATAATGGACAG